TTTGTCCTTGCTTTTCTAAAGGCATACAGACTCTTGTTAGCTTAGCAGCTCAAATAATTAAACCAGATGATCCATCATTTGCTAGCCCTCCAGAAAAAATTACCAACGATCCTCGATACATGCAATATTTCAAGGTAACTATGAGTGTCATAATTTCATAATATTATTACTCTCTAACGGACAATTGAACAGAACTATATTTATGCAATCGATGGTACCTATGTTGATGCCCAACTACCCAACCACGAGAATGTTGCATAAATCGGTCTGAGTGGTTCAAGAAATCAAAATGTCATAGTTGTATGCGACTTCAACATGTGTTTTACTTTTGTGATGGTGGGCTGGGAAGGGAGTGCACATGACTGTCGGATTTTCTCCGGTGAAGACCGCAGTGTTTCCCTCCCCCCCCCCCCATCAAGTTAGTTTTGCTTTAGCAATTTGTATATCTAAGCAGGTAATATTTTTTTATTAACAATGTTTTTCGTACCAGGAAAATAATATCTAGTTGATTCCGGATATCCTATGCAAAGGGGATACCTGAAGCCCTATCCTGACACAAGATACCATCTTCCTGATTTCGAGCGAGCAAGTGGCACCGTCTGTGGCCAAAATGAAATGTTTAATAAACGTCACTCATCTTTACGCTGGGTAATTGAGGGTAATTGAAAACGCGGGGTAATTGAAAAAATATTTGGAGTTTGGAAGAAGAAATAGGTCATCCTATGTGATATGTCGTCGTATCCTTTCCAAAAGCAGGTGCATATTGTGGTTGCAACAATGGCAGTACATAACTTCATCCGAAAACATTCCTCACGATCAGATACAGGCTTCAGTATGGCTGGCAATGATGAACTGAATGTCTTCGAGCAACCTCCAAAATTTATGGGTGGGCATTCATCACTTGAGGATGATATAGACTCTAATGAATTTGGAGATCATGATGGTGAAGGTTTGGCTTGATTGCTTTAAGGGAGTCTATCACAGATGTTATCAATGGCTGTTGATCTACCAAGTTTTTCTTTAAAAAGATTATAGGTTAATATTTATATGCATTTAGTTTTGGTTTTGTTTTAAATATCTTGAGCTGACATTTGATTTTTTTTGTTTTTTTCACAGTTACACCAACATGACTTCTAGGATATCAGTTACAGACAGAGGTATTTTGTGTTATTGTGGACTACATCTTCGTTGCTCACGTCACGTCGGCCTCATAGCTTTGGGAGGCAGTTCTACGGTTGTGCCAAGGGCGTTTCAGCTCATTACGATTTCTTCCGATGGACTGATAGTCCCACATATTATGCTGTCAGGAGTCATCCCAGCTGTCATGGGAATCCAGTGTTTTCCGAGGTTGATAATGCAGCTGAGGAGAGACGTACCCAGAGTTTGAAATTAAATATTTTAATATTTCTCATTGTAGTTGTACTTGTTTTTTTATTTTTTTTTATTTCTTCTGGTACTCACGAGAGTGTGAGGATTGTATGTTATTTTTTGGAGCTGATCTGTGATGATCGTATGCTTTTGCACTTGTTTCTGTACTATCAATAAGCTATTCTGAATAATCTGCTCCAAATAATTTTATCAGACACAGGAATGTGATTTATACACAAAAAAAAACTACTCTGAATAAGCTGGCGTAAAGAGCAAGTCAAATTACTCACATAATTATCAGATTATCAAATAATAGCACACAGTCTCATTTTTCCGCACTCGGTCTCCAACTAACCAACCCACACGATCGATGGAGGCAGGCAAGGAAGCCCCGGCAACGGCGAAGCTGAAGATCGCGGGGACATGGACTGGTGTTCTAGAGGTGCAATTGGAGTCTTGGACGCTGCCGATGCTCCGGGAGGATGTTGCACGGCGATCGGGTGGCTCTCCCGACTGCATCAACCTGATCTGCAGCGGTAAAATCCTCAAGGACGACGGCAGTTCTCAGTCACTGCAGCAGCTCGGCCTGCGGAACAACTCCAAGGTACTCGCCAGCGCTACTTCGCCCGACAGTGTTAAAGCTCTCAAGGACGAGGAGGCTGCACAGGCCGATCGCTCCAGCAAGCTATCTAGAATTAGGCAATTGCCTTTCTCTGTTTTTCATTTCTTCATTTCGCTTTATTCAATGATATATTTTTTTTTTTTGTTGAATACCCGCAATTTCTGTTTCCTTTAAGACTTCTTTGCAGAATCTCGATGGTGTTTATTTATTTCTATAAATTTCTCGAATGCAAACTATGATTAGGTTTATGATTGCATGCTTTGTTGAATCGAAATCTGAGTGTATAAGCCTAGACTTTAATGATGAGATCAATGAGAAAAATTACATGATAAGAAGAAAGATCTCCCATGGAGGAAGACATGAAGTATATGTATCTTCTTATTATTAAAACTATCAACTCCCTTGCACTTAGAGAGTTCCGAGTGTTACAGCTTACAGGAAGAGCCGCACCTTTTCCAAAGTAGATAATATATTGGTGAGTATGTGATTGGACCATTACAAACATATGGAACAAAAATCAATACTCTGGAGAGCACATGTGGATGGCTGTCTCAACAGGTGCCTTGATGACTTTTAGGGTCAGATGGATGTGATCATCGATTGGTTGTGCATGATTGTCCCGCAGGATGGCAATAATTGTTGGACTTATACATTTGAAGCAAGTTCCCCTTTTGAAGCAAATGTTTCAGACCTTGATGAGTTTTTTGAATCAAACAAGCCACGTAAATTGGTCCAGTTTTTGTGAGCTGGGCAATCATCTTTGAGTTGAGCATGCATCTTAGAGATGGGTATGTTTCTTTTCAATAAATCAATTGTTGATAAGTTGGTTAATTGTGACAAGGGAATATTGCAATGGGTTTTTAATAAAATTAAGAAGTAGAATTTGACTACATCAGAGGGATGACTAGAGTTAATATATTTTGAAGATAGTTTAAAATAGATTTTGGTAGTTTGAACATATACAATGAAGCTCGGAAAATGTGCTCGTTAGACATGTATATTAAATAAGGTTGAAGGATTGAAAAGGCAGAAAAAAGTATAAATCCATAGTTGCATGGATAAAAGTTCAAAAATATTTGCAAAGGATTTTTTTAGACTCTCTTGCTACACTAACGAATAAATGAAAAAAATAGGATTTATCAAACTGACCAAAATTTTGGGATTAAGCTAATAATGATGATCGTGATGATAAAGCATATAAGATCCATGGAGAAACTCCTTCAATCGTCTGCCAAGATAGGATTGCTGATAGCCATCCTGTTTCTTCTAGCTTGTTTTATCAGTCAAAGAAGGTAGATAATTGTTCCCCAACTGAAAATGAATGTAGCTTCCCTGTAATTTTTTATAATATTGAAAATTTCCCCATTTTTACTTTTAGGGCCTTATCTGTAAATGAACATTTTGAATTCAGAAAACTTAAAACGGCTAGGATGCATGTGCTGATGAACCCATGTTCTTGAGCAGGGCTGCTGCACATGCATTGGCTCAGAGGCATGCAGATGGTTCATTTCCAGTGGAAGATTTTAATCTTCAACTTGAGAATCAAAGTGGCCAGAAAGTGAATTTTGGATCCGAAAATGATCAACGGTGTATTTCTGTATCTTTTATCAAGCTCTAAGATGCTGGTAGGGCTCCCATTCAATTTTATCTCAAGTCTATTTACTGATTTATACTATTAATCTTTTCCAGGGCAGTGATGATGGGCTTAATGCTCCACGAAAAGGCAAAAAGCCTAATAAAAAAGCAGAAATTTAAAGACGCACTTGATGTTCTCTCAATAGCTGAGGTTCCTGAAGTTCTAGTTTTATTTCTTTCTTTATTCTGTTTAAAGATAGTCAAGGTTTCTACTCCGTTTTAACTCATTTATATAGCATAATATCCTACTTGCAGGAAGCTTTTTCATTATGTGATCCCAAAATTATTGAGGTAGGTCAATCATATCAGTATTAAACAACTTAATTTTCATTACTATTGTTATTGTTATTTTTAAACATTGTCCTGATGACACCAGATGATTGACAATGTACCAATACTTCAACTAGACACGGTCTGGTGTTACTTCTTATTAAGGGACATCTCATGCTTATCAATGGCTGGAACACGTCTTGCTAAGTCTAGAGAAGGGTTTCAACGTTCCCATGGCAGGGATAATAGTCGGTTTAGACTTCTCCAAGCAGGTCGCCCTGCAGAGCTTGCACTGTGAGATTCTTTCTTTTTTTTCAATAAATTCATAAATGCTCTTCGGATTCATCTTTTTTTGTCTAATTATCACATTTGGTTTTCATCTAGATTGAATCTGCATTTTTCATTTTCTTTCTTTTGCTATGTTGTAAAGCAGATACGTGAGGCTTGAACTTCTGGAAGGTGTGGTGGCTTTCTATAGTGGCAACCATGTAGAAGCCTACAAATCCCTGAGCGCAGCAAAGTCTAAATTTGATCAGGTTCCTATAATATCTTTTTTGTACACATAATGTAAGTTGCTTTTGAATAAAGCTTTGTTTGAAAAGAAGTGATTACTTTTGAAAAACTTGTTCTATTCATTAATCACTTGGGCTTATATAGGGCCTTACAACATTTTACAAAAAACTCTCTATGTTTTTGCTATATTTTCTATTTACAATTAGGACTCTAAACTAGATACAAATCTCAACACACCCCCTTAAGATGAGCAAATGATATCCACTAAGCCCATCTTGTCACATAAATTAGACAAATCTAATGAGCTAAATCCTTTGTTAGACAGTCAACAACTTGCTCTCCAGTGGCTACATGATGTTGCTCCAGTAGTCCGTTATTTTGTTTTTCCTTGATGAAGAACCTATCAATCTCCACATGTTTGGTTATATCGTGTTGCACCTAGTTGTTGGCAATAGTGATTGCTGACTTTTTGTCGCACCACAACTTCATTTGAGCTTCTTGGTCCACCTTGAGCTCTACCAAAAAAGCTCTCAACCACATCTTCTTTGCAACTCCTAAGGTCATGGCCTTATATTTTGCCTTTGTTGTTGACCTCATTGCTACCAACTGTTTCTTACTCTTTCGAGAGACTAAGTTGCCCCCTACAAACATACAGTATCCATATGTGGACCTTCTGTTATCAGCATAACTCGCCGAGTCGGAGTCACAATAACCCTTAATGCCTACATGCCCATTATTCCCGAAGATCAACCCCTTTGTTGCACTTTTTAGGTGCCTCAGAATCTGATACATAACATCCTTATGGCTCTTTCTCGGATCATACATGTAGTGACTCACAACGCTTACTGCAAATGATATATTGAGATGACTGTGACTCAGATTGATAAGAGAACCTACCAACCTCTGGTACCTCTCTTGATCAACTGACTCACCTGCCTTTGCACTCAACTTTCCCTTCTGATCAACTGGTGAAACTGCAAGCTTGCATCCCAATATGTCTCTCTGTGAGCATTTCTAGCACATCTTCTGAGATAGGACAATCCCCTCTGCTCCATGTGCAACTTTAAGCCTAAGGAAGTATCTAAGTTGTCACAGGTCCTTCATCTCAAACTCTTTGTCCAATTTTGTCTTTAGCAGTGTAATCTCTCCCTCATCATCACTAGTAACTATTATATCATCCACTTACACGACAAGTATAGTGGTGTGACCACCATTTCGTCAAACGAACACTGTGTGGTCGACATTGATCTGTTGATAGCCCATGCCTACCAGTGCTCTCATGAACCTGTCAAACCAAGCTCGAGGAAACTGTTTCAAACCGTGCGGTGACTTCCTCAGTCTACATACATTGCTCACAGTTTGGTTTGTACTGAAGTCTGGGGGTATCTCCATGCACACCTTCTCCAGCAGATCCCCATGAATAAATACATTCTTTACATCCAGTTGTTGTAACCTTCATCTACCTTTCACAACCAAAGAGGTAAGAGTCATAACTGTGCTCATCTTCGCTACTAGTGCAAATGTCTCATCATTGTCGATTTCATACGTCTGACTATACGCTTTAGCCACCAATCGTGCTTTGTAGTTATTAATTTTTCCTTTTGTGGTTTACTTCACTGTGAAGACTCATTTGCACCTGACTACCTTTTTCCCTGTTGATAGCAACACCAGCTCTCACGTATTATTCTTCTCAAGAGCAACAAGTTCCTACAACATTGCAGTCTTCCACTGTGGATCCTTCTTAGCTACCTGCCAACACTCTGATATAGAGACAATGTCCAAAGATGCAATGAATACTCTGTATACAGGTGATATGTTAGAGTATAAGACAAACTGAACAATGTAATGTGAGAAATCAAAATAATCAGGAGAATAACCCGAATTGTTGCGAGAGGTCCTCCTTAAAGTCATGGGAGTGGGACGAGAAAGGATAGGAATCATATCACCTGTGTAATTTGATTCTGAGTTGGATGGTGCAGATGTATCAGGAGTCGAGGTAGACCAGGAAGGGATTTGATGGCACGAGTGCCACGACGGAGATTGTTCCCCCATTCTGCCTCCTCCTCCTTGTATACACTCTCAACTCCCCTTCAGCTTAAATCTCACTACCGTCAGGCTCATTTTCCTCATTGTTCAACTCTTCCTTAACTTCAGTTTTCTCCTTGTCTGGCCATTTCTTAGCAGATCCTTCCCACACAACGGGACAAGACACCATTCCCACATGTAACAATCTCTCACCAACACTGCTCCTCTCTCGCCTCATAACCCTTGTATCTGATAAGTCACCGAAGGGTGAAATCACATCTAAGAAGTAGTATGGTTCGAATTCTCTAAATTTCACATTCATACTCATAAACAATCTACTCTCTATTGGGCTCCACCAAACATATCTCTTATGAGTAGCAAAATAACCCACAAAAATACACTTCACAGCTCTGCGATCAAACTTCCTTTTTGATGGTCTATTGTCCTTCATAACATACACAACCAATACCTTCAATGGAAGAATCCTGCCATTATCTCCTTTCAATAACTCATAAGGAGATTTCCACTCCAACACTCTTGAGAGCATTATGTTGATCAATTCAGCAACTGTTAAAATTGCTACCCCTACAAGTGCATTGGGACATTCATTGATTTCATCATGCTTCGTGCTACCTCTATAAGGCATTTATTCTTCTTCTTTACTGCATTTTGTGTATCAGTGTGTATGGACATATGATTTGATATTGTATCCCTTGAGCTGACAAGTACTCCTCAAATGCCTTATTGGTGTAATCTGTCTCATTATCAGACTTTGATACATTCACTACTGCACTGTATTAAGTCTGAATCATTCTGTGAAGGTCTTTAAAGCAAGTAAGTTCATTACTATTTTTCCTCACTAGATATTGCCATGCGACACGAGGAAAATAATCAATGAACGTCACAAATGTCTATGACCATTCATCGAAGTTGTAGAACAATGCTCCGATACATCTAAATGCACCAAATCAAAGACACAAGGACTCCTCTTACCAGAACTCACATAAAGCTCTTAGTATGCTTACCAAACTCATAAGCATCACACAAAAGTTTTTTGTTTATTTCTCTTTTCATATAGAGACGAATACAAACGACTTAATAGACTAAATGAAGAGTGTCTCATTCACCTGTGATATAGCAACATCACACCCTCCACACTCCTCTCGGATCCTTGTACTCCAGCACTCTCTACCATGAATGTCAGAGCTGAGTTCATCCTCTCTCTATCCAAGTACTAGAGTTTGTTATGGCACGTGCCAGTCCCAAGTATCCGGTCAATCTCCATCTCTTGAATGATTACCTTAGGAATATTAAATAAAACAACAAATTTTAGTTGAAAAATAATGACACTAATGGATAAAATATTCAATGGAAAAGACAACACATGTAAAATTTTGGACAAAGTCATAAAATCAGTACTCCTGACTGTACTCTTACCAACCACAGGTTGTGATGTACCATCAAAAGTTTGAATGTTTTATGAAACTAGATGAGTATAGGAAGAGAACTACCTAGCGTAACCTGTCACATGTCAAGATGCGTGGTGCTCTTGTGATGAATATAGAGGCAATAACATATGTATCACGAGTACCTTTGGCTGAGTGAGCATAAGTAGCACTGTTGCCCTTGAATAACGATAATGTGGATGCATCCTAAGTCATATCATATGTCGCTCTTTGCGTCCTCTTAAATATCTCAAGGAGCTCATGATCCTTATCTGTAAAGACCGCTCCTATCTCTCCCTCGTTCTTCGCTGCCATCAAATTTGTCTGGTACCCTATCTTCCACTTTTTTGGCCTCCACGGCTACAACCACGACCTCTATATTGTCCACATCCATATGTCTCTCTCTCCTTGGGCGGTTTTGGACAGGCCTTGCTCAGTGTCCCACTTCTCTACATTTGTAGCATCTACGGGTCTCCCTCTAAGCATCTGCCATCATACTTGAGCTCGAGGCAACTAAAGCTGCTCGCATTCCTAGAGGTCCGCTCGGTTGAGATGGAACACGTGCTAAGGTAGTGGCTCCCGTCTAGACGCTAGCTCCTTGTATGATCCCGACCAAGACCTTCAGAACTTCAGAATTCATCTTCCCCAGAAGTTTTAATCTTTTACTGCCCGCACTATCTTCGTCTCCTAACATCCTCAATCACAAGTATACAAGTCTACGTAACACTTGACTTCCTTTCTCTTCCTGGTGTAATCTTGATCTATCTTATCATCAAGGTTGAATTCAATTTAACACTTCTTTGCTTCTTATACCTGATCCGAAGCTCTCCCAGTTTTTGTTCTAAGCGAAGACCCCTATTTCGTCCCTCGTGTGACACAAAGAAGCCAAAACTTTCTCCTTTTTCATGATTGTGACCTAGCTCTCCCTGTTCCTACGCAAGCAGGAGTCTGCAATTCCCCTCCACTTCACATCAAACGAAAGCATCTCATTGTATGAAAACCTTTTGAAGCTTCCAGTTGTTGACATTAAGGTTCACTAGAAACCAACAATGGGATCGCCAATTTCTCATCTTCCGGCAGGAGCTCATTCTGCGAAGCGCGGAATGCACAAAGACCTCCGTAACTCTCCTCTTCCGCTCCTTTTGCGCTTTGGAAGAGCAGCAACGAGATCACTGCATGGGATCACATAGTACACGGGATCGCATAGTGCACAGGATCTTCAGAAGAAGTTGCTTTGCCTCCCGGTTCACACTGATAAGCTGTAATCCACGAAGCACAGGATCAAAGCTAGCTAGGGATGCAGTGATGGGATCACAAAGCAAAATGACTGCAAAGCTCCCATCTTCCTTGGTATCCCCTCTCCCTACTCGAGCAACGACAAAATCGCAGATAGGAAGCAGTGACGGGGTCACAACGTAGAACAGTCACGAAGCTCCCATCTTTCTCCTCGTCCGCCTCTCTGCTCTTGGCCTCCTCCTTTGGGTCTCTATTTGCCTATTGACATCCTCAAACAGATAGGTTTAGCTCTGATACCAAAAGGAAGTGATTGCTTT